AGCTTGTAATTACCTTTTTTTGTTTTTTATAATATCAAGTGACGCAAATCCTGCGCCTGATGGTAAGCTACACGCCTGTCCATAACAGTTGCAATACGGCTCCGAGCTTTAAATCGCAAAGATCTAAGCGGCACTGCCACTGCGCCCATCACCCTGAGACATAAGTTAACAAATACCATGTGCCTGTAATTTCACCAACAGTAATGCTGACATTATTGGTTGGCGGCAGAAATAGAATGATGAACTCTTTGATAAGGACCTTTACTGCTACCAAAAATGTCTACACTAAATACATACTTCTTGCTCCTTATATAACTACCTACACTATAGTACATAATTTCCTTGTAAATACCCATAATGTGTTCTTACAGCTTGTAAGTACCTACACTATTGTCATATCACTTACAAGGTGTAGGAGGTATGCCAGTAGTGCACGTTACCTACACTACAAATATATTTCATACACTTTGTAAATTCCCACACAATATCTTAGTCGAAAATACCCTTACATTACGTTACAGGCCAGTAAAAACAATGGTAGCGTAGCAAGGCACCGCGCAAGTTAGAACTAAGTGCCAAACTTAGTTGAGTCTCGAGACGTACTCGGTTGCCAGCCAACCGACCGTGTGATGATAATTGTTACGCAATATTGCCTTTTTATGATCTAATTAAAAACTCGATTGCAATACAAAGAGGCTGCGGTGAAGAAGGGTCTAAAATTTCTCATTAGATGTCACTAGAGGTGCAGAATAATATGTTTATTTCTCCACAAAAAACATGTTCTGAAGGTTCTCAGTAATTTAAGGAACATTAACAGCTTTTTGTTGCCTGTTAAAGGCACCTGTGCTACAAGTCACCAGACCCCCAACCTTGGGAATAATACATACTATAATAAGGCATTACTAAGAAAATATGAAACATTGTAAGAGAAAAACAAAATATGAAAATATAAAATTAAAGATAATTTTTACACTTATACACTATTGAACTTTACATACATGAATTTAATTATAAATTGTACTTTTAAACTTAAATTTAAAATGAGTGAAAAAAAATCTCAACGATACATTCGATTAAAATTCTTTAAGAAATGTAGAACAAACAATGTTTTTTTAAAGATAGTTATTAACAAATTGCATTAAAAAGTCGCAAAGACATTATTGGAACTAGACTTAGTAGAAGTAGAGCTCCTTGTGGAAGGGTTCGTCCAGAAAAATACTGTCACATTATTTTCTGCCGCGAAACATTACTGCGTTCCGGTTTTGAAGGGTAGGGTGCTAGTGAAATTACAGGCAGATTGGACTTGTCAATTTATGTCTCAGGGTGATGGACAGGCGCAGTGGTAGTGTACCTTAGATCTCGGCAATCACGCGTACGACTCGACTGGTTTATCACATCTTTTGGTACAAAGTCAAAGTCAAAGTCAAAGATTATTTATTCCATAGGTAAAATAAATTTACACTTGAAAACGTCACATTTAAGCTACTGCTCGTTCACTACGCTGACCTCCCTGAGAAGAACGAGCAAGAAACTCTAGGGATTGCTCTTTTCAAATAAACTTAAATGCTATGGAATACACTTTGAATCAAATTTGTGTGGATTCTGGAGCCATGTCGTCTTTCCATACATCTTTATCTAACACGTAGTCTTCAATTTTGTAATATGATTTTTCGATCAAAATATTTTTAATGTAGTTTTTAAACTTAGGAAATGATAAACTTAATATATGCTCCGGAATCTTATTGTAAAAACGTATACAGTTCCCCATAAAAGAGTTGTTTACCTTGGTTAAACGAAATCGTGGTACCATGAGTTTGGACTTAGCTCTAAGGTTAATGTTATGGATATCTTCTTTCTTATTGAAATTATGTATATTTTTACGGGCATATAAAATATTTGAGTAAATGTACTGCGATGCCACAGTCATGATACCAGTCTCCTTAAATTTTTCTCTGAGAGATACCCGAGAGCCTAGACGGTACACAGAACGAATCGCTCGTTTTTGCAATACAAATATGGTTTGAATATCTGCCGCTTTACCCCACATGAGAATCCCGTAGGACATTATACTATGGAAGTAACTAAAGTAAACTAGTCTAGCAGTACTAACATCGGTAAGCTCACGTATTCTGCGGACTGCGTATGCAGCGGAGCTTAATCTGCTGGCCAGGGACGATATATGTGGAAACCACTGAAGTTTACTATCTAAGGTCACTCCCAAGAAGACTGCTTTATTAACAAGGTCTAACTTTTCTCCGTTTATTTCTATGCTTGGACTAGTCGATTTTACGTTAGGTAATTCAAATTTAACACATTTTGTCTTCTTGGCATTAAGCAATAAATTATTAGCATTAAACCAATAAACTACCTTAGAGAGGGTATCATTAATACGGTCATGGTTAATGTCATGTCTGTCTGTTTTAAAAATCAAGGATGTGTCATCAGCAAACAACACTATTTCGCAATGGTCCTTAACAAAGAATGGCAGATCATTAATATAAATCAGAAATAAGAAAGGTCCAAGTATTGAGCCCTGCGGAACACCCATTTTTACTGGAGAACCCAAAGAAGTTACTCCATTTATGTCTACTTTCTGAATTCTACCGTTGAGATATGACGAGACAAGTTTCGACGCCTTGCCATTTACACCGTAATGTTCCAGCTTCCTAATAAGAGTATTATGATCAACGCAATCAAATGCCTTTGAGAGGTCACAGAAAACACCAATAGCGTTCTGGGACCTTTCCCAAGCATCAAAGATGTGTTTTAGTAACGCTACCCCCGCATCGCTAGTCGATCTACCACTAGTAAACCCGTATTGTTCACTATGAAAAATATGATTCCTACCGAAAAAGGACAGTAATTGAGTTAGCATAACCTTTTCGAATATTTTACTTAAAGCTGGTAAAATTGAAATGGGCCTATAGTTGCTAGGATCAACTTTCCTACCGCTTTTGAATAAGGGAATAACCTTGCTGTATTTCATTAAATCGGGAAAAACACCTTCGTCAACGCACCTATTGAAAGCTACAGCTAACTGTGGGGAAATGAGATTAATAACTGAGTCTATAACTTTAGTTGATATGCCCCAGAGATCTTCAGTTTTTTTTAACATGTATTGACTTAAAAGCTTTTATGATGTCTTGTGGATTAACATGACGAAAATTAAATAAACTGCCACAAACGTTAACATTTTCCTTTAGGAGATCAATAGCAAGTGAAGGGGAGGAATTTAATGATTTTGTAGTGTTCACAGCAATTTCCGAAAAGAACGATTCAAAAGCTTGGGCTACTTTATCTTTAGATTTTATAAGTTTGCTGTCTAATTCTAAAACTATATCTCTATCGTGTAGTTTAACCCTGCCTGACTCTTTATTTATTATGCTCCAAGTAGTTTTAGATTTATTTATCGATTGTCTAATTTTGTCGCTGTGAAACTTAACCTTAGCAGCTACACAAACTTTTTTAAATATTTTCGAATAAATTCTAACATATTCTATAAAATTGGAATTATTATTATAAGTTTTCATAGCATATAGCTCATACAAACGAGACCTACTCTTATGAATACCTACTGTTGCCCAGTCGTTGAATTTAGTCTCTCTATGGAAAGTTAATGTTTTCGATTTAAATATATTGTCAAATTCATTTTTAATTAAACCAAATATCGTGTTATATAAAGTATTTGGATCCTCCGGTATATGGGATAGGGAATTTAAACTATTGCCGATATTATTTTGAAATCTAATTATTCGTTCTGTGGTAATCGGTCTGCAGAGAAATTGGTCTACCTTCTTGCTCATTTTACAATTAAAAGAAGCCAATTGGCCACTATGGTCGGATCTTAAGCAATTAATTATTGATTTAGACACTGCGTCTGTGTTACAAAAGATGTTATCAATACAAGTAGAAGAGGAGGCAGTAATGCGAGTTGGTTCTAAAAAAAGATTAATCAAGTCAAAACTTTGAAATAAATTAATGAGTCTTACAGAAGTAGAACAGTTTTCCAACAGGTTTACATTGAAATCTCCACATATTACTACGTTTTTTTTGGTTGGAAAAATCCGCTTTAAACTGTCTTCCATAATTAATTCAAACTCGTTAAAATTAGCAGAGGGGGGCCTGTATACACATAAGACGACAAACCACACATGAAATCTCAATAGTTCGTTCAGTAGAAAGATTTGTGATATCCTTACGCTCTTTAAATTTTAAGTTACGCTTAATAATAATCATGGATCCGCCTCTACTTAAGCTCTTTCTTATGAACGAACTGACTATTACATAATTTTCTATATTGTTAATGGCTTCGTAATCTTTCAGCCAGTGTTCTGTAACACAAAACACGTCAACGGAAATATCGTGCAAAAAAAGACTTATTTCTAATATTTTGCCAGAAAAGCCTTGAATATTTTGATGTACTACATGCAAACGATTAGACTTTTCTGTTGTCGTGTTTTTCAGTTTAAATTATGCTTATTAAAAAGTATACTGTTGCTACTTAAAGTAGGAGCATTGTCGTGGGACTGTGTTATATCTTCTATAACAGCGTCCTTAATATTAAAAGATAGCAAACTAGCTATATGTCTTAGATACCTTAGGGGTAAAAGTAAATTATTCTCAAAAAGTTTGAAGTTCGTTACGAACTTATTAATATCAAAACAAAATATAACGTCACTATGACGGCAAGTCAAATTATGAATGTGCGAATTTATGTTGTATATATACTTATTACGAGCGATGTCTAGGTTAGAGCAGTAAGGGAATGCACTTAGTATGAATTTACACCCACACTTCTCATGAATTCTCAAGAACACGTCAATGCTACTATTTACTTCTTTTTTACTAATGTTAGTACTATCACCTATTATAAGTATCACTGTTGTATATTTATCAAAGTTGCAATCACTTAACAGTGTAATAATTTGACTAAAAGTAGCTCCTGGATAGCAATAGTTGACTACCCTTTGTAAAACAAAGGGTAGTCAAGTTAGTGGTTACTAAGGTGGTGGGCCTAGTCCTACGCCTATTTTATCAGAAAAAACTACCGTTCTTCTGGATGGCCTGGTCGGAGTTCTAATAGTCTTGGTTGACCGTTGACTGTGTCGAACTTCAACAGTTGTAGTGGAGCAGACACGTTTTCCTGCAGCAACGCTGGCATACGATAAACGTGTTGGTTGCGTTGATGATGTGGGTGGTGGGGACGGAGTCTGATTTGTTTCTACTGGACCATTTGTTTCACTAAGCTCATCGTGAAGAAGGACTTGAGTAAGTTCTCTATACTCAGTGCCCAGCTTTAAAAGCTCATTAGTTGCAGCTGAAAGTTCTTCTAGTTGTTTCTGCGTAGAAAGTAGGTCTTTAGTTCGCGATTGAAGATCTAACTCTAGATCTTTCACTTGTTCGGCCATCTTCACCTTGTCCTTGTGTAAATTTAATTTTTCTGATTTTAGTTTCTTAAGAGTTTTCGATTTCTTTCTTATCAGGTTGGTTAATTTGGAAAATCTTGGGTCTTGCGATTTAGTGCTGCATAATTTACTGTTGCATACATTCCTGTCTCCCAGAGCTAGTTCATCACGGAGTGACAAGGTCGTTAGGTGGTCGTAACTTCCGCTTTGTTCGTGTAATGATGCAACTTCAGCATTTGATTCCTTTACCTGTCTTTCAAGAAACGTGATACGGTCTAAGGCATCTTCGTGTTCCTGTTGATTTTCTCGGAAGCTCTCTATAATTAATTCCTTTCGTTTGCACTCTTTTTCTAATTCTTCACAAAATAGTCGAATTTCATCAAATTTCCCTTTTAATGTCATTCGTGAAGTCTTGAGCGCCTGCATTTCCATTTCATATACATCGCGTTCTTCAAGAAGCCTATCTGTCAGTGCCCTCAGTTCATTGAGCTCAGCTTCCATCTTCTTGCTCTTTTCTTCAGACAACATTCTCCTGGTCATCATGTTGTACTGGATATCGCGTCACTGGAATGTATCAAATGGAATGTAAGCGCACAGAATGTACTTAAAAAAAATATGTAAATTATGTACACAGGCCTCTTCCAAATACGAAGTTCCCACTAGCACAGTGAGCTATTGTCTATTTCTAATCCTTAATCTATCAGATAATTGAAATGAACCAGGGTTGTCTGGTCTATTCTACCTAAAACATACAAATCTCACTCACAAAACTTATGCACGGAAAGAATATTAATAAAATTACTCAAAATGTATATATAAATATATACGAGGTATTGTTAATAAAAATTATATATTATGTAATAGTTAAAGGTCTCAGGCGTGCACTTTATGTATGTATGTATGTCTGTATAATACAAGCAAATACATCAAAGTCTACTTCAAATGTATTGAAGTAAATTGAGACCCGCTTGCAAATACACGACAGTTATTGTAGTGTTAATTTGTTAATCGATAGCTACTTATATACGTAACGGTAATCAACTAAAGCTAAAAACTGTCTGTACTAAATTTTCTGTGTAATAAAAATAATGCAAATAACTAAATAAAAGTGTTTTTTAATGGCATGTATGAATGTACGTTGTCTCCGAGATTTGTTTGACAAAAGTCAAGCAGAAGGAGTCAAGTTCAGTGTTGCGTTGTATGTATGTAATTTATAATATGTGTTATGTTATGGGACTTACGTAAAAGGACAAAATAATAATAATAGTATATTTTTTTTTTTAAATAATAGCTATAATAAAATAATAATAATGAAAAAAGAAAAAAAAAAACGAAAAAGAAATACTCCCTTTCAGCGTCTGAGATGCGAACCGCGGGCGGTGAAATCCGAATCCAGCCGCTATCCCGCTAGACCAATGCGCACACAAGTTGTACCGGCGAAATTATGGTACAGTTTTGTATTCAGCTGTTATCTATTCAATGTTGCGACGAAGTGGGTAATAGCAAGACACTTTTTTAACGAACGGTAGCAACGACGCAAGGAGTCTCCTTTTTAAAAAACACTTTTTATCCTGTTGTTTTGATTAATTTCACAACACTCACTGATTTTGCAGGAATATATCACGAAATTTTATTCTTTATTACTAAAATTTAAAGTCATACACAAGTTTAACAGTCGTACAGAGAAAATTTTGTAGCCGATATTTACGCTCTAAAATTCCTTAAAGTACTAGGTATTTCACGATGATAATAGTTTTCCTGGCGAATTGAACAACTATGAACACTTATATAAACATTAAGAACTGGAAAACTTATAGTAGGTAGCTATTTTTTAAAAATAAATTAACACAGAGCGATGTTCGTTAGGCGAATGCAGCGCCCTCCTTCCAGCCACCAGCAAAAAAACTAATTAACCGACTTCTAAAAAGTAGGATGTTCTCAATTCGACTGGTCTACCTCAGTAGTGGTCCCATTTAATTTAGAAGAAAATATTCCACTTCTAAGGGCGACAAACAAGGTGATGAATCGGGTTTGCGAAACCAGTAACCGATTCCAATAATATTGGCAAATAGATGTAATTCCACGATCTTTTGAGGTCGGCTTTTTAGTATTCTGTACTGATTTTGTAACGTTTTTAACCGATCGCATTGCTAAGCTTAGAAGTCCCCCAAGAAAGAATTCAAAGGCCATCAACTACAGCTAAAGACTTCACATATTTGTTCACGTTTCTTCATTCACTCTTAAGGTAAGTGCAAATTTACTTTTCATTTCGAACGTTTGCCTTAAATTCAAAGACTTAAATCGCATTTTACTCCATCAATTGACCCTAACAAAGAGGCCTATACTCACACGGTCAATATTTCATTCATTAAAAATGTATACAGGGTACTTTTTTACGATAAACTGCCTCCTGACACAGAGGTCCTTTCAAATTCAAAAGACAACTTTGTACTTTACTATATAGGGCTCATAAATCACACATTACTACAACATATCAAATTTAGCTTTGTCAAACCAAACAACAAATCGACCATCACCACTCTAATGGCATGCGTAATTAATATAGTTGATAATTAATACCTTGCTCTGGGGAATGCTAGCATTATTAACAAGCGACAATCATAGATATTAACCGATGCGAAAAAAGAGATGTAATTAACATAAACAAATTGAGTTGGAAATTCTATATAATTTATTATACAGAATTGATCATATACAGAGTTATTTTTAAAATACTAATAACGTCTCTGGACTATATTACTAACATCTTGGACAACAATTACTTTTCCATGATTTTTAATAATTCTTAAGATGTTACTTTCATACAAAAATAAATAGATTTAAATAGATCGCTCTAAATGGTACAGTCTGTTCTAATCCATTTTGAACAAAAAGTAAACAAAATTATTTGGTTGAAATTATAAAATAAACACTCAATAAATCGAATAAGCAACACTTTCACGTATATTTCGAAGATTTCGTCTAGATATCTCATTACTTTTTCTAACATATTCATTTGAATAGCATCGTAAAATCGTATTTGCAAAATGGTAGTCCAAAAGTGAGGTTATGTTTCAACTATACAACTATGACTTGTGTATGTTTGCATAGTGCTGTACGAAAAAAACATTCGGTTCATTCAATTAAAGTTTTTGTAATCGATTATTTAAATCGCAATTAAACGAGAATCTAAGTGTATGGATTTGAAGGAGGATTCAAATTTAAGATTTCGAATATTTTGAATATGCTTATATAGGTTATATAAGAAAAACCGCTAGTATAACTCAATTGAACAAATCGATTCATTCAATTAATTAATCGATTTGTAGTTAGCATTACAATTGGCCATCACTAAACCGTCTATGATCGGGTCAGTGACTTGTTTGTTTACTATTTGTTCAAAATGGATTGAAACGACTTCGTTTCAATAATAACTCTGTGCAGGTCGGGGGTGGGAGTCGTAGCGGAGAAGGCTTGCACGTTTGAACTTATTCTACCAAATACAGATCCAAAAAATGTCTGATAGTGCAACTAAAACTTAAAAGTTTATTTTTAGTAAAATTATTGTCTTTTGTAACAAGTTATGGACTGCCACGCAGAGGTCCCAGGTTCGATTCCCGGGCCGGGAGAAATAGTTGTATGGCCTACAATTATTTCTCTCGTGAGTTTGGGAGTAATTTGTGGTTGTCTATATGTGTGTCCATGGCACCCGCGACACAGGGTTTCCCTAGTGCGGGGCTATGTTGAGTGTGTGCGTTATTTATTTATTATTATTATTTATTATGGAACAACAGTGTACCTTGTAAAAAAACCTTAAAAAACAAAAAAAAAATTTCATTTTTTTTATTGTCAACAGTTGTAGTTTATGATATTTTAGTAGGAATACTCTCGTTAATATCAAAGACGGTTCTCAACCTCAAACGCAAACTGCAATAAGGTAAGAAAAAACAATTTTTCCGGATTTAAATCGCGTATATTTGTTTTTTCAAACAAACCGACGTTTCTGGCCCTTTACAGGTCCCATGGTCACGATTTACAATTAATACCTGTAAATGGGACCTGTAAAGGGCCCGAAGCGTCGGTTTGTTTGAAAAAACGCGATTTAAATCCGGAAAAATAGTTTCATTTCCTATGTGTAACAATCGCGAAAACCTAAGAACTCGATATGAAATAAGGTAACCACAAACTCAATTGTTTTGTTCCCGGAATAACGTTTGTTCGAATTTTCATTACACCGAAAACCAAATTATAACGAAACCGTTGCTTTTTCAGGATATGTTGGACGTTTATCGCAAAGCCACGATTAGGTTCGGTTAGGTTAGGTTAATTTAGGTTTAAAAGAAAATATATTTTCCTCTCAAAATTACTTTCGAGGTTATGAAATTTCGACCAAACGTTATTACTGGAAAATGTCATTCAGACTACTGATAGGTAATCCTAAAATAATTTTCATTATAAAGCAAAAAGTTTTTATTAAAAAATAAACCACATAACTTGATAAATAGTAAAAAAAACCCGATCTAATTAGAAAATCTTCCTCTTTAGTAATGTTTAAAAATGCAACAGCAAAATTATGCTTTAAACAAACCTGCTCACATTTATTAGTATAATTTTCCAACATGCCTACTTAAACAAAGCATAGTGAAGACATCGGTCTGTTCGCATTCAAAACAACAGCGGCTGGCCGCAACCTGGGGCGCTCTCTAAGACACGTAACATCTGTCTTGACAGCGGCTTATATTACATATTAATTCCGCCCCAATGCTGCAGACAGACGGAATATCGTTTTGCCGTCCACACTAACTTCTGTATTATAGTTGAGATGGAGAAAACGGTCTTTTTGACCAGTTTCAAGATCATGACTACACATAATTCTTTTTAAGAGGTCGTCCAGGGTAGTACTGCCGCCTTTTCCTATTTCTGCCGCCACGCAGTAATGTGGGTATTATTGCGGTCAGGTTTTGAAGGGTAAGGGTGCTGGTGCAGTGGCAGTGCCCATCAGATCTACGAGTGGCACTGCAACTGTTATGGACAAGCATGTAGCTTACGATCATGCGCACGGCTTGTTGGTCCTGTCACTAGATATTATAAAAAAAATTATATTTTAAAGTATAACGGATAAGAACATTCATATATTCATTATTTATTTTACAATTAAGCAAATTACATTTGAAATCGTCTTACTGATTCAACTCTACTGCGCGTTCGTAAGGCAGATTTCCCTGAGAAGAATGAGCAAGAAACTCTAGGGTTTGCTCTTTGTAAATAAATATTTGTACAAATTTATCATTTCTTATATCTATTTCTAAAATAGCACATCGATTTTTAATTTTTATATTATATGTAGTACCAACCTTTTGTGTTGTTTAACTGGTAGATGGACATAGGGTATTAAGTCAGCCATTTGTACTTTAGTATATTGAGCAAAAATGTTTAAAAAACAAATAAAATGTTTAATAGTAAATAAAAATGCTACCGTATTAATATACTCAAATAATTATTTTTTTCGAAGTGATTAAAAGCAAACTGAGAGGGAAAACGAA